GAGTTAACTGTAAACAATCCATAACATTTTAAATCCCAATGATGTTTCTTGCCCCTATACCATCTCCCTTATAAGATACTTATTCATTCTGGAAATTTTAAAAAATTATTAAAATAATATCAGAGTTATGATTTTAAAGTCATTGTTGGAACTTGAATTAGTGGTCTGAAAAATCAAGAAAGAAAATATAGAAGAAATCAAAGAAATATAAACCTTGTGGGAAAAATATGATACTTAGAAAAGAGATACAAATTATATACCACTAAAAGGAGATCCAGAAGGAAAACTAGTGGGGGAAGCAATGGAGGGAAAACAATGACTAAACAACTCTGGAATAAAATTTTGCTGAGCTAAATGAAGAGTTAAATATGTAGATTAAAATAGTTCACTAAGTTTCAGGCAAGAAGGATAAGAAAATAGATTTACATAGACATACCTTGGGTAAAATATATTGCTTCAAGAATAAAATATTAGCAGCCTCAACACGGGACATATGTGTTACTTAAAAGAAAAAAGTAGAAATAACATTTAATTGGTTTGTGCTTTGTTCATCTTCAGCACTGAAGGTCAGTAAAAGGTGAAATTATTATATAACAAAAAATGAATTATAATTTGAGAATCCTATACCCAGCCAAGATTTGTATTTGTGTATTAGTGAATATAGGATATATTACCTATATACTGAAGAAATTAGTAAAAATATTCTAAGTAAATAATCATTAGAATTAGAGTCCTGAAGATTGGAAAATAGGAAGTAGAAAAATCAAAGACATATAGGACTTCTCTCTCCATTGACTCTGTAAATGGATAGTAATAGATGATAGAATATATGTAAACCACACATACTACAAGGGAATAGATTTGAACTAAAAGTATGAAACTATCTTAGCATGACTTAGAATATGGGATCAAGTGGGTGGTAACGTAAAAGTGTTCTAACGGTCTCATTCTGTTGGCATAAGCATGAAAAACTCAGGGTGGGTGGCTGGGGATGTAGCGTCTTGATAAGAAATAGCTGAATATTTGGAATTATTACTAGAAAGTATTGAGAATTTGGGAATTAGGTAGACACTAGTGAAAGGCTATAGCACTTGTAAATTATAAAGAGGAATCAGTTATAGAAAGAATAAAATAAAGCTTACTAGTGGCTATACAAAATTCGACGGAACAGATTTTCATTTCTAAATGATAGCTCAGCGAACAGACTGGTGGTTGCTCAAGGTCAGAGGTTGGGGAAGGGGAAATGAATGAAGGTGGTAAAACAGTACAAACATCCAATTATAAGATAAATAAGCACTGGGGATTTAATATACAGCCTGATCACTAAAGTTAGCAATACCTTACTGTGTATTTGAAAGTTGCTAAGACAATACATAGAAAAGTTCTCATCACAAGAAAAAAAAATTAACTGTGTAGTAGATGTTAACTAAACTTAGTATTGTAATCTTTTAACAATATATGTATATATCAAGTGATTATGTGGTACACCTTAAACTGAAATAGTGTTGGATATCAATTGTTTCTCAGTAAAACTGGAAAAAAAGAAAATATAAATATAAATGAAATTGAAAATTTCATGAAAAAAATATGGACACTATAATACTATGTTGCAAGTCAAAATTCTGCTACATACCACTCACCAGAACTATAAAGACAGGTTGAAAAAATGATGGAATGGGCTAAGAGATACTAAGAAATGCAAACAAAAAGAAAACAGAGGTACAGTGTAAGTATGTAACAGGGTAAATTCTAAGAATAAAAGGACTAACTAGGATAAAAAAGATTTTACAATCCTTGGAGGTGCAATTTATAAAGACAATAAGACAGTCATAAAATTTTCAAGGTCAAGCAACAGTGCATCTAAATATATAAAGTGAAAAGTATTAAAAATATAAAAACTGATGAATATATATTTTAATTGGATATTTTAATTGAAGTCTTTCAAATAAAATTTTAAGTTAGAAAAAAGTAAATTTATAATACTATTTCACAGCTACCTATGCATCTTAATATGCTTTAAAAAATGTAATTGTTTTATGCCCATATTATATATGTAAAAATATGTACATAAGAAGAAACCACAATACAAAAATAGAGAAATGGCAGGCTACATATTTTTATCATCATTTAGTAGAATTAAAAATTAGAGGAAGAGGGTCCCACATGGTGCGCGGACCTCTCCTGCCGCCCGCTGCTCCCCTCAGCAGTGTGCTTCGGTCCTTCTGCCTGCTCTGCTCCCCGCTCTGGCTCTGGTGAATTCTCTCACCCTCCCACGCTTCTGACTGTACCCAGTGCATGTATAAACCAAAACAAAACAAACAAATAAATAAAATAAATAAGACATGCCTCTAGAAAATTTAAAAAAAAATAAAAAAATTAAAAAAAAATTAGAGGAAAATGACAATATTACTAAATTTTCTGAACCATCTACACAGCAATGAAATGGAAATTATATATGGCAAAACTTACGAGGTAGCAAAAGCTTAATCAGAGGAAAATGTATAGCATTACATGCCTTCACAACTAAAGATGAAAGACCAAAAATAAACACTTAAAAAAGTTTTGTGAATTTAATTAGCAAAAAAGGATGAAGCATGCTTTAAAATATATATAAAATTGGAAAGTGTAAGAAATAATTGTAGCTGTGAAAGATGACAGAAAATTTAAGGGACTATAATACTCAATAGCATAGAATTTGAAAACCTAGAAGAAATGTACTTAGTTTAATCCAAGAAGTAGAAAATGAGAAACTACCATGAAAGAGGTGGAAAATATAGTTACAGATCTAAAATTTAAAAATCAAGTTAAACAGTAACAAAAGATTTTATAGCTAGGTCCTGTCTATTAATCCTTTAAAGATTAGCTAGTTCTGATGTTAACTAAATCTGAAATTCCCCAAATAAATTTCACAAACTGAGTACTCTTAAGACAAAATAGAATAAAGATAATATTTAAAAAAGGCAAATTTTGCCTATGAAAATAAAAGGGACAATTCTCTATGTCACATGATCAAGTAAAATTCATGAGTCTGCAGCAATATAAAATATAGCATAACATATAGGAATAATTTGAGAATTGTAAAGATAGCTCAATATTAAGAAATCGACAAAGACAATTCACCATACCAACACGTTAGAAAAATCAGATTGTAATTTAAATAAATGACTTGTGGTAGGATTCTGCAGAAAAACTTAAAATCAACTCTCTGAAATTACCTTAAAAAGGAAATTTTTTATAAATGTAATGATTTACTGAACAAATGAACAGACACAAAGTTCTTCTAAAGTGAAACTTGTAATGCCATCAGAATGCTGGAGACACCCAGAGCAGTGAAGCCTGTTCTCATTCATGGGCTGAATAGTATTTGGCCTGATAAATAGAATTATTGCCAAGATCTTTAAATATTCCAGGGGGTTTGTACTTGAAAATCACTCCCTACTATTATTAGGTCACTTAATATAATAAAAGTAGTATAATAAAAGTAGCATTAATACTTTTAAGTTTATCTAATATCATAAGTAGTACTTGTACAACTAAACATTAAAACTTACAAACTAAGTTTGCAGGTCAACTTTTCCCAAATATTTTGAAAATAGACAAACTTCCAACTTATTTAAATGCATCAAATCCTTGAAAAACACAGAATATTTTTATACTGATAACAAAACTTGGATTATGAGTCACTTAACATTTAGCAGAAGTATGCTGTAGAATGTGTCATTGATTTTGTATTGTTTGTGATCAGATCCCTAATTTTTCGCAAAAGGCACAAGTTCCACTCTCTCCATCCATGTTTATAGGGGATACTCTCACATACAGAGCCCACAGTGTGCACTGTGTGACTGTCTCATTCTGTGTCAGTACCCCAGATTTAGTCACCTTATCGAAAATCACTCATACTTTTCCCCATATGCTTGAATCCTTTTTTACTCATCTTTTGATTAGTCTAGAATCTGAGCAGGTAAGAATATGTTAGAAATGACAAACTTATGAGAACTATAAATAACAGTAGCAATAATACTGAATTCTTATGAATTACAAAATAAAATGAAAAGAATGGCATGTAATTTATGAAGTTACACATTATGGTAGAATCTAATTGCAATATTTGGGAGAGTGTTAGAAACCTTAACTCTAGAAATTAAGTTTGTATGTTAAAAAATCAAGTTAATGCCTTATGTAATAGGATATTTAATTTCCAAACTAGTAGAGAAATATTTTAAGATAAGACAACAAAGAAATTCAATCTATTCAAAAGAATGCAAGAAAAAAAATGACAAGGTGGTAGGAATTAATCCAAGCAAATAGATTATCTTGGAAAATGCACAATCTTTCTAGGTAAAAGACAATTTCAGACTGAACAAAAATCCTACAAAATCTAGCTACATGGTATTATAAAGCATCAGTTTAAAACATAAAAACCCAGAAAGATGGAAAGTCACAAAATGGAATAAAGTTATGCCAAACAAGCATTGCTCAAAGGGAACTGTGTGCCTGTATTAGTCCTGGATGAAATAGACTCTAGAAGGATAAAAAGCATTATTGCAGATAAATAGGATCATTGCATATTGATGAAACATTCACCAGGAAGATGGACTCTAAAAAACTGCAGGCACCTGGTGACTTTAAAATATCTTAATTTGACAGAATTATAATATACAAATCTACCAGCACAGTGAGTATTGTTCTCTCATTAACTGAGAAGAACAGCACAAATTAATAAAAGTGTAGGTTATTTAAACTACAAAATAAGTTTGACCCAAGAGCACTGACACCTGCTGGTGTGTCCTATGCAACCTTGATGACAAAGCTCCAGTGCAGCTCTCTGAGCCTCAGAAGCACCCATGCCTCTGGGGCAGCCCATGGAGGGGCCTTGCTTTCAGCTGGCCTGCCAGGCTGCACTACGGGGTTTTGTTCCTTTCTGTGTTTGTGTTTAAAAGCATGTTTTGTAGCCACATTTCACTACCTCTTTTTTCAAATGCCCTTTTCCTTGTTTTCAGAGACTGGAAGCGTGGCAAGTGTATTTTCAAACATCCCTTGCCCTATAATTTCTACTTTGGATTCTGCTGTGAGAAGCATCCTGTGACATTTTGAGAAGAGTAGAAGCAAACGCCTTGACTGCTCTGGAGACGATGGTGAGTTGGCTTTGGCTGATAGCAAAAGTGTAACAGGAAAAACACTGTCTGGAAAAGCTCCAGTTTTCTGTCTACTCAGAATACTCCTACTATAAATGTGTGGGGGTGGGAGTGGTGGGGTGAGATTTAGCAAATCTCAGATTCTCTCAGGACACTAAGTGGGATTCCTACAATTTAAGTCAATTCTGATACTATCTGGAGACAGCATCAGATCCCACAGGTTAAGGGCTTTGTCCCAAAAGACTGCCCCACACACCCATCACAAGTACAGTTCTCTCCTGTACAGTCAGAGTTCCTAATTCCCCTCCTTAGGCTTGGTCATTTGTTAGAGTGGCTTGCAGAATCAGGCACAAAGTTCACTTAATAAATTACTGGGTTATTATAAAAGGATTCAAGTCAGAACCAGACAGAAGAGGTGCAGAAGGCAGGGTATCAGCAAAGAGTCACAGAGCATTCACACCCTCCCACACATTCCCTCTCCAAACACCTCCATGTATTTAACAGCCAGGAAAATCCCACTAGTACTTTGGGTTTGATGGAGACACATCACTTTGGCATGATTGATGGACTCAATCTCCAAGCCCCTCTCCCTTCCCCAGAGGTGGGGTAGGTCTGAAACTCCCGACACTCTAATCAAGATAGTTGGTTCCCTGGCAATCAGTCTCCCTTTTAGGGACTTTCCTAAAGTCACTTCATAAGCATAAACTTTTGAAAAGGACTTGTTATAACCAATGAAGACCACCTCTAAGGAAATTCCAAGGGTTTTTAGGAGGTTTGTGCCAGGAACTGTGATGAAGACCAATATATATTTATTATAAATTACATTATCACCACAGGTCTCTTGGGTCTTCTGTGTATCACCCGCTGCAGGAAGTTGTATCTGTCATTCCTGATTACTTAGAAACTTGCATTTTCTTTGACCTTTGATCTGTGAGAACGTCTAATTGTTTTAGAAGCACCTTATTTCCCAGATACTGTTACCAACCTCCTCAATGGGAAGATCCACCATTTGCCTGGTGCTTGAACTCAATGGTTCATCAACCAGGTTCATAAAGCAAAGAAAGATCTTTGTTGTCTGGCCTGACTATGGAGAAAGGGGCCCATGTTCCAAAGCAACTTTCTCTGTGGGCTTGGGGTAGGTGAGGGCATAAGGTTTTGAATTGGGGTATTCTGTGTTCCTCATCTTCTAGGTGGGAAAGTAGGTTGTGCGTGGTCTTTTCCATTATCTGCTGGTACACAGGTCACACATCTCCACCTCTGGGAGTAATTTTTAGTATTATAATGAAACAAAGGTCACCTTTAGGTTATTCCAGTCCCTTTTTCTCCGAGGGAGCTAATCTGGGCCAGTCATCTGTGGTTTCAGCTGTTTCAACTATCTGGACTCCCCTTCTGCAAAATGACATATCTGGGTACGGGTAAAACAAAACTACCTCAGGTAGGCACAATATTTATTCCTGCTTGAAACTCCAAGAAAACACAAGAACAATTTTTTTTTTTCTAATTGAGGACTCTTTCAGTAATTTGTCTTTCCTCAAAACCGTGTTTTATAATTTGCATATGTATATACACATGTAACTGCAAATAGTGATTTGATGGGATATATATATTTTTTAAGCATACCTGCATCATTTATGCAAAGTGAATATATTAAGCCTGGCAGCAAGTCTCAAAAATAACAGAATATTGGTGTATCAGTTCTATGACTACATTACAACTAGGAACTAGGTTAGAATTTTTTTTTGTGGGACCCTCGCTGGTGGCTGGGGAATGAATCGGCGCTGCAGAGGCTGCGGGCAGCCTCGCAGCCCAGCACTCAACCGCTGCGCCACCAGGAGAGGCCCCAACTAGGTTAGAATTTTATAAAATATTTGAAAAGAGTATACTCAATATTTAAATATCTCTCAAATTAAATGCATCCAAGAAAAAGATACTTGAGATTATAAAGTCATGAGTGATTAGGAATAAACTATCAATATGTAGTTTGAAGCTAAAATGTTACCAAGTTGAGGGTTGCCAAGACCACCTTCTTGTTCACTGATTTTATAGGACACGGAGGACTCAATACAGTGTACTTATGGCTATAATTTATTATAGTAAAAGGGTAACAAGCATAATCAGAGAAGTGGATAGGCATATGGGCCAAAGTTGGGGGACAATAAGAAGCACATTTCTGAGAGCTCTCTCTCAAGGGAATCACACAAGATGTGCTTAATTCACTCAGTGAGGACTTTTGACAGCGCATATGAAATGTTATCAATCAGGGACTCTATTAGAGACCCGATGGCTAGGTTTTTTATTGGAATTGGTAACATAGATGCCCCTTGCTTGGTAAGTACCCTAATTCCCACAATGAAAGCAGGTGTTCAAGTAAACCATTCTGTTTGTACAAATATTTTAGGCACAGTAAGTCACTTATCAATTAGTGGCAGGAAAACTCCCAAAATCCGAGTTCCTAGATATCAGCCAAAGTCCACTTTTATAAGAAGGCCTTTCAAAGGCTGGTAGTCACATTTGCTATGGTGTATCTCTTTTTGGTATCTCTTTTTTGGTAGTTACTGAAGGGGAAATACATCACTTTAAATGCATGCATTCAAAGCAGGAACTAGAATAATAGTAGACTAACAAGGAAAAAAATAAATGGAATGAAACAAAAAGATGATTAACAAAATAGAAAAACTATAATAGAATCAAGTAAATTTGATTCCCTGAGAAGAGCATAGGATAAAAATTAAGTGGAAATGTTATTATAAATAGGAAATTTAGGTGGTAATAAAACTGAATAATTTCATGAGTAAATTGTTGGATAGATTCCTTGACACTCCTATCTCATCAAGAGATCTATATCTGTTGTTTTTAATTCTGGAAGGCTTTTCTGATAATTTGAGTAACTGAATATGGAGAAATGATGGTATACTCCTTTTCTGGATTCCTAATCTAAGAGACTGGCAGCTTCCATTTCCTGCCTTGGAACACTCATGCCTGGAACCAATCCATATTGTATTACTAAATCCAAGCAATTCTGAAGAGATACCCACATGGAGAATCATGGTGACCTCAATCCAATAGCCTAGTTCAGGTCCCAGTAGAGAGCTAACCAGCATGTAAGTAAGCCATCTTGGAAGTAGACCATTCATCTTCGTTAACCTCCCCAGATAATGCTGTGTGGAGCAGAAATAAACCATCCAACTAAACCCTACCCCAATTGCAGATTAGTAAGCACAATAAATTACTGTTGTTTTAATCCACTAGGGTTTGGAATGGTTTGTCACATAGCAGTTATGGTAGAGTACAGAACTCGATGAAATTGACAATTCAATGGAAAATATAATTTTCCAAAATATACTCAGTGTATAAAGCCAGAATAATCCCAATACATACTGGAATGTTATTGGAATAGGTTCAACTTGGTTGCAGAATCAAAATTTTCCCACAAGGAACAAATGAACCCAGTTACATAGATAAGTTCTATCAAACGATGGACAAGTTAGTCCAATTTAAACAAAATATCCACATCATAGACTAATTTCACTCATGATTTAGATAAAATATATGCAAACCAACAAAGTACATTAAAATTTTAGTGAACTCTGATCAAGTTTTATCTTAAAGAGCAGGGGTAAGATCGCTAGTGATTCCATAATTTGTTTTAATTTTTAAAACTATTATATTTTTTCGAAATTATTTTCCTGTTTTCCAGTGTATTTCATGAATAAATTTACCTTTATTGTTATTGAGGTCATGATAAATTTAGACTAAATTGGGAGAATTGATTCTTTCATAATGTTGAATCCTCTAATACAGAATATGGCATGCTTTTCTATTTGCTTATATTTCTCAGAAGAAATGCAATTTTTTCTTCATATAGATCATACCTATTTTTTTCTTGCCAAATAATATTATTTAGTCTATTTCCAGTTTACTCTGCTTATACTAGCAGAGATAAGATACATCTTTCCTCTACATATTTCATAGAATCACCAGAAATTCTGAGCAAATTTACACTCCTCTCTCATTAAAACTATAAATTCATCAATTTCACATTACTTTCACAGTTTTTTGTTTGAGTATTATAGAGATAGATGGCTTTTTCCAAACATGACCTGATCTGGTCAGCCAGAATTTTTATTGTTCTTTTGATGCCTATGTTGTAATTGGCGATTGTAAACTCTTTTAGATGTTCCTTTGTGTTTTCAGCCCTACCTCAGACATTTTAAAAGCATCCTTGTTTTCTAGCAATATTTTGCAGAACTATCTTGATTTTTCTCCTGCTTCAAAGAACAGCATTCCTTGTAATGAAAAGTATTTTCAAAGATCAAAATGATCAAAATTTAAGTGCTAGAGGAACAAAGTAGCTTTATCCCCATGGATATTTTGGGAGGAAATATGACTTCCCTGTTTAGACCACTAACTTAGCTCTCTTTTTTCAGGTTAGTTTTAGTCTACAATAATACAATTTAATCTCTCTAACATTGCTAAATCCTTTTATATTCAATTCTAATAGTGTAATCTCCATACATTTCTGTTTATATCTTTAGCACCTTTTCCAGGTTGCAATTATTCCACCTTCTATGCTATCCAATAAGACTTTGTATTATACTGACCACAATAAGACAAAGTGAAAGCAAATTTTAATAATCACTATGAAAATACAATTTCTTTTACCCTACTGATAATATTGGACACCTTAAAAATCTCATAATCTAGTAAAAAAAAAAAAAACTAGTAGGTTTAATATTGGGATTTGGTAAGATAGCTGGAAATAAGGTCAATAGGCAGAAATTACTAGCTTTATCTTTTCTGGCAATAACAAGCTAGAAATAGAATTGGGGAGAATAATCCAAGTAAAAATTTCCATATCTAGTAGCGAACACTGTGATAAGGGACTCCAAGAAAACTATATATTATAGAACATGAAAAAAATCTGAATAAAGTAGAAAGACATGTGATTACAAATAGTAACTTAATTTTATGGTTTTTCTTCCTTTTACCTTTGGATTACA